AGGTGGCCGAGTGGTCTGCGTCGGCTGTGGCTCAGCCGGACCGGGTTCGATCCTCGACCATCGGGCGGCATTTTTCTCCGGGCAAGTCACGGTGTCCGCAGAACAAGTGCCGCCATCCCCCACTCCGGGGCATGGCAGAACCTACGGGTGTCCCAATATAGAAATTCTGCCAAAACTTTCACCCACGTGTAACCAACTTACCGTTCCATAAAAACCTACAGTACTACGCCCTTCCCAATCGCCTAGTTGTCGCGGGATAATTAAAAAAAAAAAATAAAAAAAAAAGATCTTTAATGTAATTTAAAGAATATCCTGTGGTAATAAAGCCGTATTTTCTCCAAATGTAAACTGGGTTTATACGTATATCATTATTTATTAATAATAGATTATTTCTTAGAAAATGTTTAAATATATAAATCAAAACAAATATTTTATTTCTGATTTATTAACTTGAATGAATACTAAACCTATGATGATTTCAAAATGAAGGAAATAAAAATTAATCWTTCATAATTTTATAACCTGTGGAAAATGATTGAATACATAATATTATGTTTTTGTTTTAATATCACATCTATTATTTTATATTTTACATGTAAAACTATTAGTAAGATTTAAAAGCTATTATTATGAGTAAATAAAWCTTAACAACTCAGAAATTATTTGTTTAAAATTATATTTATATTTATAGGTTTAAGATCAGTCAAAATTTTCAAAAAAATCATTCGATTAACAAACAATTGAGGCTTATAAAAACAAAGAAGTTTATTGGTATCATATAGCAAAATATTACTCAGGTGGTAAAAAAAATCTAAGCATTTTAAAACGTGATCTTTAGGTAGAGTTCAAAATTCTAAAATCAGAATTTGAATAAATATCTACTTTATTAAATGATAAATTTGGGTTTGAATTAGGTACTTTGTATATACTGCTATACTAAAAACCCTATTTGTGTTTTATGAGACATTTATGCAATTTATTATGCAATTTAAATTGCATTAATTTAGGAGTAACAGTATAATATAYGATTCCAGGCCAGAAGTAGAGCGATGGTAGTTTTGAAAAARTATAAATTGATTAATGTATTAGTTTATTTTTTATATTATTTATAAAATTTGAATTTTTCATCTTCTCAATCCATACAATAGGTATACTATACAAGATTAATAACAGTATTAAAGTACCATCAAAAGTTAAATACCCCCCCCCCTTCGTAATCTCCCAAATAAAATATCCACTGACAGTATTCCTCGATTAACCTTCTTATTGTCCATCAAAATAACAAAGGGCTCGTAAATTTTTGTGATTGTATATTATTATCACAGAGTGCGGTGTCAGACGGAGACCGCAAACCATGTACCGCAAGACGAGAATTGTGGGCGGCAGACCATCACTGCCTGGCGACTGGCCGTTTTTGGCAGCAATTCTCGGTGGCCCGGATGAGATATTCTATTGCGCCGGAGTGTTGATATCCGATCAGTGGGTTCTGACGGCAGCTCATTGCACTGGCGGGTATGAATATTATAATACCATGACGTTTTTTCCACAATGGAGACAAACGAAATGATAAAATCACCGCGATAAATGGTAATTTGCTTGGTTTCGTTTTCAGGAGGAAAATCTTGGGCGACCTTTCAGAGTGGACCATACAGCTGGGCATGACGAGGAGACATTCCCATTCGTTTTTCGGGCGAAAAGTAAAAGTGGAAAAGATCATCAGACACGAAATGTACAACAACGGACCCGTTCAACACGATCATGATATCGCACTTTTCAAGGTATACCTATGAATATGATACATTATATTATGATAATGTAATATCGTTACGGTGTTCACTGACTGAACTGCACCGACAACATAATATCGGTCACAGAAAATAAAATAATAATAATAATTATTATTATTACATGTTACCCAATATTTCCGTACAGTTTCGCTGAAAGCAGTAAATACGGTAATTCCGCAAAACGCGTAACCCCATTTACATTGATCTTTAATATGGGAGTCCCGGCCTTTTCTTGAAATTGTAATGGATTTCTGTCTATGGGCACTAGGAGTTTGGAGGYGTTAAAATTTAAGCTGGTCGAATGCGTGTACGTGGTCAACATGGTGTGTAGGTATAATGTTATATGATATACATGGCGTGACATTCGTTCACATTATAACTAAACATTCTGTATAATAATTTTGATTCGGTCGATAAATAACCAACATGATGATCATATAGGTACCTGCGTGATTTGACAACAACACCGTATGGTATTAATGTATTATGCAATGATGTGACGTTCAAATGTGACGTGTTTTTCTTTTTTAGCTCAGCGAAAAGTTAACGTTCCACGAGTTTTTACTTCCAGTGTGTTTACCACCACCGAAGATGGTTTTGAAAGCAAATATCAGCTGCACAGTCATCGGATGGGGTAGACGCAATGGTCTCGAAGGTAATAAATTGGTTTCATGTATAAAATATTATTTTTTATAATGTAATAATATAAGCTCACCGCTCGCCGTCAAGGAATTCACTCTATAGCATGGTCGTCTACTGTAGATAACCGCGCACTGCACTATATAAGTGTGTATTTTAATGATGATATTGTTATGACATCACATACACGATACACATACAGTTACATTATTTTGTTTAAAATATGTATTATGCACATTGCACACTGTAACAATATAGGTACGCGTAGACCATTTATATTCTACATGTATAAAGCTGTTGGTGCTGTTACAAAATATTATGAATATTTTTATGATAATATATTTCATTCGATAGGTACAATTATTAAGTCGTATGAATATAATAACATTAGTAGGCRTATTTTGATTAAGAGTCAAAAAAACTTCAATTATTAAATATCATATCAAGTACATATAGGCGCCAACTAATAGGTTATAATAATTTTAAAGGTTGAAATATTTTCGTGTCAATTTTGTTATTTTGTGCTGTTGCGTTTAGTGGGTTAAAAGTGGTGGTGCACCGAACTTAAAAAAAAGTTTTTTTTTAGTATCGTGTATTTTTTATTTAATTGAGTAGGTATACGATTAAGTTTTCGAATATTTCAAAAATTCTTTTTAAATGTATTTTAAGTATAAATAATTAATTTAAATACTAAGTATTATTAGTCTTATCGAATACCTACATAGGAAGTTAATAAAAATTTAATTTTTAAATTTAATCGTAAAATTTTCTGTATCAAAAAAAATAATAAAAAAATATTATTATTATCATAAGCCTGAAATTAAATAATTCCGTAATAGTAGAAATATACGTATAAAAATGTTTTCTAAGAAAAAAAAATGAACTATAGAGCATTATCATATAGATTACAATTATATTGTTCTGAGTATAACTTATAGAATGTATTAAGAATGGGGCAGTTGGATGTTTGGGTTTTTGTTTAATATCGATTTTAATTGTTAAACTGCATATTATTAATCACAATGATTGCTCGTGTATTTGGCATCTAAAAATGAACAATGAGTATTATTACAATACACGGTTGGCTACGAACTCAGACTCATAAAAAAACCAAAAATCATGATTTCATTTGAAATTCAAATCGTGAAATTAAAGCGAATATAATATTCGATTAGTCGTAGGTATTGTGTAGTTCATATTATATTATTATTATTATAACGGCGTGCGGTCAGATTTTTCATTCATTTGGGAATGAATCGCGGTGTAATAAGTGTTTGTTGCTGTCGATTTATCACACACCTATCATAGAATTTTTTATATCCGTGTGTTACATGGCGTGTGATAATGTTATATAAAATAATGAATTAGAATGAAATAAAATCCATTCAACGGTTTAATGTGTACAAAAAAAAAAAAACTCTTCTGCGATGAGGTTGTCAATGACGGATTATTCATTGCCTTTCACCTGCAATCGAATTTAAATGTCGCGTCGGGTTATGCCTTTTATCWTTTCAACTGCGTGTTTAAAAGTTCTGGACCAACGGCTATTGTTCGGCGGCAGATCAATAAATTTTTTCTAGGTTTTTTTTTCATCGAGTGCGAATATAGCTATAGTTAACCTCACTCCGCCACCTTCACCACCTAACCTATACCGTAGCACACGTTCCAAAGTTTTCATAGTACTAAAAATCACGTGTTTTCATATAAATTGCAGATCGTAAATTTCGGGTTTTCCTGTAGAAATCAGATTATTGCCTCACAATATTATTTATGCAYGCATATTTTTGAGATTGTTGTTTCCGAGTTTTCCGATATAAATAAACCACTTTCSAATGCGTTTCRCAAACGAATTTAATGTTATAGTGTTTCCCCTTAATAACAGAACAGAATTTTGTATTTTCAATGCTACGATTCCGAAAAATAAATTTATTTTTCGTCATAAGTTAAAAATGTAGTGTTTTAAATTTAAAACTTACTATTACTCGACGATGTAATAGTGTTTAAATATAATATTTATTTATTACAATTAATTAAATAAAAAACATATATTGGATCCGTATAATACAATTATAAGAGCTTATATTTCTCAATAAAAACAAAAATAAGTCGCATTTATTACCATTGATATAAATTTAATTCATTATAATATAATAATATACAAGTTAGTSAACAAAACAATTTRCAGCTCAATTATAAACGAATACTCTTTAATAGTTTGTAYACTACATAAATAAATAATATATAATAGTTGGCTATAGAATCCTAAAAATACATAAAAATTCAAAATGATAAAAATAACCATATTTATACTGTWGCTGGAGTAATCTACTTGTCTTCTTATTCCACAGTTCACTCCACTCGTCTAAGGACCTTAAGTAAGTTGTGATATTAAATTCGATTGCTATAATGGTATACGCCATAAATCGTCAAATAAAGAATAAAATTACGAATTTCCAACTTAGTTCTGGTTTAAAATATCACATTCTTAGATTACTCCAAACTACACTTATTTGCATAAGTATTAAAAAAGAAAAATCTTTAATTATTTATTGTTCAGTTAGTGTTCAACATTCAGCGTATTGATGATACAAGCCAATTCTCTATCTTTTCTCTGTTGACAATATAATTATCTCATTGATACATTTGCATTTAAAGCTTTGATATAATAACTGTCAATATTAAATAAATCAAAATGTAGTGGTTTTTATAAAGACTTCACAGTATTTTAACT